TTTTCAAGAAAATGATCTGTGACCCTGTCATACCAACAAGGTGTATTTTCCAGGGACTTAATTAGTGTCCTACAACTACAGGAACTACAATAAACCCACCAGAAATAAAAGATTAATTTTTCTCTAGTTGTTTACAACAAAGAGTGTTGCTAAGATGATTAGAAGTCTCCAGCTCAACTCAGAACAGAATGCGAATTGAAAAATTGCTCACACGGAGCCTACACTAAAAGCTCGGTGATTGGCTCATTTCGATGTCAATCAAACTGGCACACAGGCTCAGACAGATCATCCAATCTGATGCAGAAAAGCCTGGCGTCCGGTAGCCTCCCACTGCCATCCAGTCCCAGAGACGCCGAGCGTCCGTGGGCGGGACAAAAAACTGCTTGTATCCAATGACTCGTCTCCGTTCAACGCATTGGGACATCCTACCCTGAACTCTCGAGAAGCTCGGCTTCCGGGCAATAGACTCTCTGCGGACGGTCGGCGTACGCCGTTTAAGCACAGCGAAGCTGCGGGAATGAATGAGAAGGGGGTCCCGTCGTATCCAGTAAGAAGAAGCTGATTCGGAACAAAAGTTGAGCACGTTGTAGCGCATATTTAGTCAATGACATGTACACACAATGAAATTTACATTCATATATTTGATCACTTATTCTTTGACATTTTAGGGGAAGCCGAGCTTCCCTTGCAGTCCGAGAGCAATCGCCACTGGTCAAAATACATGCAGACGTTCAAAATGCGTGCTCTGGATATATTTCATTTAATTAATTAAACAAATACATTTACATGCATGTATAAAAGATTCACCATTCCAACCCAACAAATGTATACATACATAACCGTTTCTTCATGCGAGCCCTCAGGAATAAGGTGGATAGGATAGTAGAGGACTCAAACAAAACAAAAAAAATATTCGCCATCTAGTGATGATTGGTGATATTACAACTTAAAACTAAAGTCGAGCCTGGCATATTTGCAGATTGTTTTTCTTTTACAATATTTTTTTTTTTTTTTTTTTTTAATCATTTGGATTTTTTTTTTTGTTATATTGATTGTTCAGTATTTTTTCAAAGATTTTTGGTGGTGGGGGGTTAAAAAAAGTAAAATACCAGAATGGTCACTCATTTTGACTTCTTTCAACTCTAGATACAATATTACTGTAGCTATGAAACAGCCATGACTAGATGATTTATTTTTTTAATGTATTATTATTGTTTATATTGAATCAAAATTAAAAGAATAAATAAATTATTGTTTGACTCCCTTTCAAGATATAATACCTATTTAAATAAATCATTTTGTGAAATGCCAGTTTTTACCATGATAATTTATACTGTAGTATTACTATATTATTATACTACTAATTATAATTCTTACACATGTATTGCTATATTACTAGTAATCATTTATTTTCAAACGTTTGGGGACCTTTAACAATGACAAACAGCAACTTCAAATGTGCTGAAAATAGGTGTTATTGAAACAGGCAGAGAAGCACCACACATTCTTTCCAGGCATGATTTATTGAAAACACACCAAATATATATTCTACAAACCATCATGTTTTTGTTATGTTGAACAAGCTTGATATTTGTATGTGGGTATTAGTAAAATTAAAGTAATACATTCTGTCACTGTGGCATCGCTGATGCTGGCTACTAAAGTTTTAGCAACTGAACTCTTCTAGGGGGGGAAAAAACCCAAAATCATCTTGAACGAGTCTAACTTTTGCACTTTTGTAAACGTTTATTGTACACTCTATTACAAGGCAGAAACCCAACGCCGATCTAAATTACTTGGGAAGGTGTGGGAGACAGAACGATACAAGCGCGTGATGGAAGGAGGCAAAGGGGAGGCCGGCAGCTTCTGGAAATCTGGCAGTTGGAGGGGAGGAATAACGTCATACAAAACACACATTTTTATCTAGCATGGAAAAAGATTAAGGCACATGATAGGCATACAACACGTTGGCTACTGAGATGTACGCTGATTTTGACAAACTTGAATCAGTTCTGTCCACACGGGGACGACTGATTCAACGTGTGCCTGTGTCCTTTTGTATTTAACAGTCCAGTTGTGTGGCTTTTCATTTGATCACTGTTTCACACAACCAGAAAGCCAATAAACTCTTTTAATGAATGTTAAATACAATTCCTTTGGTTGTGGTGCTGCAGAGGCAGTCAGAGACAGCCCGTGATGTCCCCCTCCCCTCAAGTTACTTCAGTACAGTCCAATGGAAACACAGTTTTGGGGGCACATAAAAAAAAAAAAAAAAAAAAAAAAGAATGCAGGGTATATGTTTTTAACCTCTGGAATTAAGAGTTATACATTTATTTGTAGTTTATTGAATTTTACCACAACACACACCTTTGTAAACACTGTGTAAACGCAAGCTTTTATAAAATCACGTCACAAAGAAAAACATCAATGCAGGCACATGCCATTTGCCAGGAGGACACAAGTGATGCGGAATTTCCGTCTCCGGTATGTGCTGACTCTGAGAAACTGACGCTGGAGAACACACTAGCATGGATGTTTGTGTGTGGTATTACCAAGCACAAGGGAAATGGCAAATTTACTTGATGTCACTCTGTTTTTTTTCAAGTCAACGTTGTCCACCCTGAAACTTTGTAAAAAATATATACTATGACTTCTTTTTTTTTTTTCTGTCCTTGACTTTATACAGTGTGACCTTTCAGTTTGCCATTAAAGAGTTGTATCCATTCTGCTGTTCTTTTGCTCCATGTTGATGGATTAGTTGATATCACAAAAACAGAAAAAAAACATGGCACTTAAAAAGAATATGAACATCTGTACACTTTTTTCATGCTGACAAGAATATTTTACTTCAAGAAGCACTCATGAGTGCTTGATTGTAACACAGTAGGAAGAAAAATGAAGGAATAGCAAAAATTGTATTTATAACCTGACCTCTGACCCTTGACTCATAAAACCTGTATTTTGGTCTCATGAAACAACACTGCAATCATTGTTAAAATCCTTTTTGCTTACAATATATAAATAAGTGATGGCCTGTGTAACTGGCACACCGATCCAATGTGTTTTCCAAATAATGTGGTCATAACATACTAAGAGATCAGAAAATGGGTTAAGATCTTTTTTTTTCTTTAAACAAAATAATTATATTCTGTCTTCTCGCCACCACAAAGAATATCTTTATAGACAAAAAAGCCTCATTTCCTTTCATCAAAATAAAACAGAGAGCCATTGATCAAGAAACCCAAGAGACTGTGTTGTCAAGCTGACTGCTTTCCTACCATGGTGACGAACATCTGTGGAGGTGTTGTTCATTTACATCAAGCAGTTGTTGAGATGTTGCTCCATACGTTGCCCACTCACCATCACCTTCTATTGTCCAGAGCACAACTTGCAGAATCCTCACTTTCTAAAACAAACCTCCTACTTCCAAAGCATTCCAGTGCAGCTTTCTTGAAACACGGTGAACCAAATGGGCTGTGTGTGGGTTGATGAATTTTGGGGTGCATGTTTAACCACGATGCTTCAGCTTCCTTTCCCTTAACACCCCCGCCTGAACCCAAACTAACATCCAGTGACATATCAATCAATCAACCCGCACCAGCCCACATCCAAAATATTAAACTCACACAACAAACTGAAATAACTGACAACATACCACAACTTCTGAAACGGCCATATTGAAAATAAAGCCAAACCGAAAGTATTCCTCCTTGTCACTTGTTTCCTTTCAACACACCTTCATTTCCCCTTTGTCGTCCCCTCGTCTCAATCTCACATCCATTTCTTTGCCATTGTCAACCTTGAATGCCTGGATGTCAACTGAAGATCACAACTAAGGTCAACACTGTAGAATTCACATGCTGTCCAGTGGGAATGTAGAAATGTAAAAGTAGTAGAAATAGTCACTCCATATCTTTTTTCATTGTTAACTTTTTTTCTTTGAAAAGCAAAACTGCTGGCTGCTGCTGGGTAGTCGTCGTTCCGATTGTGATTGTTACTATTTTTTTCTAATCCTTTATCTGTACAAAGTTCTACTCCAAACAAGTTCCGTCTGAAATGGCAGTGGTGATGTGAGAGATCCTCCTGCGGTCTCACTCTGTCGCTGTTTTAGGCCTGGAGTGCATCAACAAAACAAGAAGAAACATATTAGGAGAAACATAGAGATGGCTTAAAGAGGAGTTCAAGAAAACAAATGATTTTTTTTTTGTATTTTAAGTTTTGCAACAATAGGTTCTATGCCTCCACTAGTCTAAACACGGTATCTTGCTTTGGTGGAATAAGAATTAAACAGATGAATCCACCTGTTGTCATCCAGTGCAGGGGGCTGCCATTTTGACTTTCTACCGCCCTCTGCTGTTGGTTGAACTTGACGTCAAAGTGTCATCGGGCTTGCATGGTGAGCGCCCACTGATCAAATCCAGAAAACAGATGAACAGTGATGTTCGAATCACTGAAAACAGGTGGATTTATCTGCTTAAGCCTCCTTCCACCAAGGCAATATTATAATATACAGTTGTTGGTGATCAAATATTTTTTTAAGCACGATATATAAATAGAGCATCCTTTGTTGAGTTAAAATATGATCAAACTCATCAGCCCATTAACTGGCACGGGGGTTCAAGAGATACTTTGAATCACTCTGTCCAAATCTTTCAGAATTGTATCGGAGAACAATCATTCCATGATTAGGGCGATAATCAGGCTGAAGATGTCTTGGGAGGCTCTAAATAAAGTAAAAATAATAATATTGTTATTATTTTTTCAGTTCATTGTTATTGTTAACATTAACATTATTTTTGATACCACCGCTACTGTATGTATCAATTTTTTTGGTGATACTGTAGGATGAAGATGGACATATGTAACAAAATACAGAGAGAATAGATGATGATGTGGCCTTTATATGTCATGCGGAGAAAAAAGAAATCAAGGTCAGACATGGAATTTCGGACACGTGGTCAGTAGACAGAATGAGGCACAAACAAAGATAATGCTGAGAGTAAAACACAGACTAACACTGTAGCAACAAGTGAGACAATGGGACATGAAAATGGCAGTCACTAAATGTGCAGGTCTTTCTCGTTCTGTGTGTGAGTGAGTGAGTGAGTGTGTGTGTGTGTGTGTGTGTGTGTGTGTGTGTGTGTGTGTGTGTGTGTGTGTGTGTAGGAGAGTAATTATAATGTGAATCTCACAATGGGTGTGTGCATATTCTTTTTTGGCCTTTTGATTTAGGGTGCCTCGGGAGCATCCATGTGGACAGCTGACAAATGATCTCCCTTCATCATTTTGTCACCAATTTCAGTAAAGGCTGTCAAGGGAGGCAGCGAGTGGATCTCGGTGCACATTTCAAACAGGCAGCAGCTGCTGAACTGCAATCAGATTCAAAAACCTCTTTAGTTCGGTTTACCTTCTCCAGAGCAGAGAGGTACCATTAGTTTTTTTTTATTTTATTTTTTTTAAATGCTGCATTGTGGCTCCCTGAGGTGCCACAATTGGGTCAGTAGCAAAAGTGCATTACTAAAAGGGACACACACTAAGAAAATCACAACATGTAATGGGTTTCAAGAGCTGCATCAAATATTGGTCTTGTAGGTCGTATATCATATTGATAGTTTTTAGTTAAATAAGTAACAAAGTAAAGTTGTCATTCAGTTCAAAACAGACGCAGCCAAAATAATAAACAGATTTTTTTAAATGACTACCTCTTATTCAATTTCAATCAAAACTGATCAGTATTATCTGTGTAAAGCTGTGCCTCTCTTTGCTACTGGTAGTTTCATTAAATTATTCATGTGTAGGCCTACAAAATAACAATGTTAACACGCTGTCAATAACACCTGAATAAGACCCCTGGGTTGCCCCATTTCTAACCCGAATATTCGCTCATGTAAACGCGATTTGAACGAGACATTGATTTGGGTTCTGCACATGGTCTTGCTGGATCTGCAAGGAATCTTGGTCTTTGTGGTACAGGAAGTACTTGCCCGCACAGTGCCCTTGCAGTGGCGTGCCTAACTTTAATACATTGGTCCTTTTCACATTATTTTCTGTTTCTGCAGCACGGAGGGAACTGACTGCTTCGTTCCCACAGAGAGTGACATGAATATAAGGTGTTTTTTTCATGGTACAAAGTAACAAGTGGGAATGATGTCGACGTGTGTCGCCGTTAAAATCGGGTTATTCAAATATGGGAATAACTGTCTTAAATAAGATAAAAGTCCTGATCGGAGATTTTAAATATCCTATTCAGGTTTTGTTTAATTTCTTTTAGCGACATATTAACATCAGAGCAAGATTAGAACATCCACACTATTTTGTTAACATAATGATTCGTTGTTGGAGAGCTCCTCTTTGTTGAGTGTTGTTACGTAGTACCTGGATCTAGCATGCTAGGTTGGGATAAATTATGTGTAGCATCTTTAGGTTGTAAATGATAAAACTCTTAAGCGGTTAAAACACATTTTATAGAGTGAAATCAGTGAGCTGTGTGCATACAGTCCAACCGGGTGACACATTAGATGACGGTGCTCAGTGACAGACACTCTGCAAGACATGATGCGTATGTGAGAGGAAATTAGATGGAATTCAGGAGCAAATGAAGAATGAATAAGGACCGCTCAAGTCCAACTCAGGGGTGAGGGTGGTTACATCGTGATTTTCTTTTTCAGACCTACCATGCATGCATTTAGACCCAGGAATCAACAGGCTGTGGCTTAACATCACAAGCGTCCACCAGACTGACCCCAGGCCTGTTACTCCTGATATAGTGTTTCCTACTTGTGTCATTCTGTGCAATAGGACGGGTTAACAAAAAACAAAGCAAAACAAAACAGAAAGCGAAACAAAAGGAGGTCAATGCATTGGACCAATACACTCAAATATACACATGCAGCGAAGTACAGAGAAGCCGGTGTTAATTTCCTTCTGTACACAACTTACAAAGGGAAAGAAAACATACAGGACCAACATGCAAAAGAAAGAAGGAGAGATTAGTATTAATAAATACAAGTTGCACTGCTATCCGGAAAACCTGTGAGAGTTAAACGTTATTGGCACAAAAACCGTGCTGTTGCTTTGCTTTGCTTTATTATACTGATTAACCTGCTGTTTATTTTGTCGCTTAATCAATGAATCAAATGAAAAAAAAAATAAAACGTTTGAATTTCCATCCCTTTATTCCAAAACAGGGTGTTATTTCAAATTGCCAGTACACAAACATAATTATGTTTTCATAACTTGTGTGGTCCGTTATGCCAGAAAAAAAAGCTACAATTTTGATCATCCCATTCCAAAGCAAAAGAAATTATTTTATGTTGCTTCAACATAAAAGATAATCAGTCTACTTTCATGGAGGACGACAGCAATGGGATAATCTTGACTGGCACGTTAAAGTTGTCATTATTGTCAGACAAACATCTGTTATAGCCTCAGTCTTCTTATTGCCAAGGATCCGGTGGTTGCCATGAGAGGCAGTTGACGGCAGCCATTTTAATCAGTGCAAGCTTACTTCAGACTGCAAAAGCTTCCACTTAATTAACTACTGTAATGGCTCACAGATCTGAAGATATCCACAGCCCTGAGCTGCAAACGTTAGGGTTGGGCAATATATCGAGGAAAAAAAAAATTGCGACGTCACAACGAAGTCACATGCAATATGCGTATCGAAAAGACGAGTTCTTTCATTACATAATATAGATGTTATTATTTTAGTTGCATGTTAAATATCATTTTCACAATATTGAACACCCGTATCGCATATCACGTTTTTTTTCCCAGTATCATGCAATCCAAGCAGTCAGACAATTCCATCCTCTTGAAAGAATCTATCAGGTTAAAGTGCTCCAGTGAGAACACGTAGAAACATAGAAAGAGAGCAAAAGAGAGAGCCAGTGATAGACGGAGCAGGGAGGAAGAAAAAGGACGTGACAATATTTCAATGAGACATCATTACTTGGTCCTCAATGCCCTCATCCCGCGGGAGATAAAAAAAAAGTTCTGATGGTACCTTTAATGGCTCCCGCTCTGTCAAGTCCACTGAACTGTCGCCTGTCTTGTATTTGCAGTCTTTGTCCCTTTGGTCAATGCTGGAGTAACCATCTAATGAGGTCGGAGAAGGGTGGTCAACTCCATTGCACAAATGATGCATTCAGTTGCTTTAGTTGTACAGTATACTTTGTACATGAGACATGGGCTTATAACAATGTCAAGGTCACCACAACAGCTACTACAACTTAATTAGCTCAATGTTTTGTTTTGTTTTTTTACTCCTTTTTTTTTCCCATATCAATCTTCCATGGACCTGTTCTCTTGTCCCTGCCGTGCATGGGCTTATAACAATGTCAAGGTCAGGTTGTTTTTTACTCCTTTTTTTTTCCATATCAATCTTCCATGGACCTGTTCTCTTGTCCCTGCCGTATTTATTTATTTATTGACTGACAACAGGCCATTTTCATCGTTAGTTATAGGGTTACTATGAAATGCTTAGCAGGAATGACCCTAACTCTCTATCAATGGCCGCTTTGAAATTAGGGCAAATTACACTGTTATCAGCAGAGCATGTCCACCATGCCTGAGCAACGTGCTGCGAGCAAAGCGAGGCTTTGCGTCGTCACACAAACTTCCTGTGAGATTTCAAATGAAATCCTGATGATTCATTTTTCAGTAGAAGGTCGCTGGGCATCCATTTTGAGCATGATTATTATTTGGCATCGAGAAATCATTTAATCCAGAGGTGTCAAACTCAAGGCCCGGGGGCCTGATCTGGCCCACCACATCATTTTACGTGGCCCGCAAAAGCAGATCAAACATGTCAACTTCCATGATGCTTTCTAAAATGTCTACCAAAAATGTTAACTCTCATATGTTATCAATAGGAGAGATATTCTAAGTTACCAAAACCTTCATGACAGGAACTTAAACAGGAGTTTAATCAGCCGTTATTCTTGATTTCTCAATATGGTTTCAGTCATAACGGCCCTCCAAGGGAAACGGTGACTAAAATGTGGCCTGCGACAAAAATTAGTTTGACCCCTGATTTAATCAGTCACTGAACCCATCAGAAATAATGTACAGATGATTTGGACCATTCGGTGAGAATATTCAAACACTTTGGTATCTTTGCTGCATTCAGTGGATCAGACGGTGTACTTTCAAAACCAAGCAGCCGGCACATCTTAAACAAGGGATTATCATGCTGTTTCAATATGATGATCAGGTGAAACTACCTGGGCACGCAATATTTGCATTCATTTCTACGTGGTGGAAATAGGTTGGCTCAAAATTATGATTAACCTTTTAGGTCACAGGTGTCGAAGTCCGGTCCTCGAGGGCCGGTGTCCTGCATGTTTTCCATCCCTCCCTGCTGCAACACACCTGATTCAAATGATCAGGATCACTATCAGGCTCCGATAGAGCTTGCTGATGAACTGATCATTTGGATCAGGTGTGTTGCACGGCCCTCGAGGACCGGACTTTGACACTAACCTTTTAGGTCATGCACTCAATTTAAAGATATTACACTGAGCTCTCACGAAATGGAAAACATTCTTATGTGAGTTCCATATTTACATAAGAAATGTAATGTTTGACTTGACTGTACTCATCATCCAGGAGAACAGGGAGGATGGAAGGAAGGTAGGTAAATCGTCATTTAAAAAAAATGTTTAAACACAGGTTTAACCAACAAAGAAGAGCCGATTTGCTGTATGTATGATATTGTGAGATTGTAGTGAACCCCTTTATTTTTGGGTAGCCCAGACTATGCAAACATCTTGTCAAGAGAGGGGCCCTACACAAAGCATCAATCAGCACTACACCTATTGACCCACATGCAGCTACCATGCTGAGATCACGATTTTTGACTTTTAGAGCAAAATCCTCCTCTTGGCAATGGTTCAAGGTACAGTAATGTGTTAACTCTCATATGTTATCAATAGGAGAGATATTCTAAGTTACCAAAACCTTCATGACAGGAACTTAAACAGGAGTTTAATCAGCCGTTATTCTTGATTTCTCAATATGGTTTCAGTCATAACGGCCCTCCAAGGGAAACGGTGACTAAAATGTGGCCTGCGACAAAAATTAGTTTGACCCCTGATTTAATCAGTCACTGAACCCATCAGAAATAATGTACAGATGATTTGGACCATTCGGTGAGAATATTCAAACACTTTGGTATCTTTGCTGCATTCAGTGGATCAGACGGTGTACTTTCAAAACCAAGCAGCCGGCACATCTTAAACAAGGGATTATCATGCTGTTTCAATATGACGATCAGGTGAAACTACCTGGGCACGCAATATTTGCATTCATTTCTACGTGGTGGAAATAGGTTGGCTCAAAATTATGACTAACCTTTTAGGTCATGCACTCAATTTAAAGATATTACACTGAGCTCTCACGAAATGGAAAACATTCTTATGTGAGTTCCATATTTACATAAGAAATGTAATGTTTGACTTGACTGTACTCATCATCCAGGAGAACAGGGAGGATGGAAGGAAGGTAGGTAAATCGTCATTTAAAAAAAATGTTTAAACACAGGTTTAACCAACAAAGAAGAGCCGATTTGCTGTATGTATGATATTGTGAGATTGTAGTGAACCCCTTTATTTTTGGGTAGCCCAGACTATGCAAACATCTTGTCAAGAGAGGGGCCCTACACAAAGCATCAATCAGCACTACACCTTATTGACCCACATGCAGCCACCATGCTGAGATCACGATTTTTGACTTATAGAGCAAAATCCTCCTCTTGGCAATGGTTCAAAGTACAGTAATGTCGAATTCGTTTTAAATGGAGAAGGGGAAAAAAAGAGCGGTCTGAGGGGTGCTGGCACTCCTTTGCCTGATGACAATAATGCAGTCTGCCTTTTACTGGGACCCAGCTCATCCATCGCTTTTATACCATCACCGCCACATTTTCGGGTGCCTGAAACACACTCATATGCTCTTTGTACACATGTGCTATATGCGTACCTACAAGCTAGTGAGCCAAAATGATGCTTTTCAAAGAAATAGGTATCGGTTGGTGACCGATAAGAGCGGGGGCAGGCTATGATTCACATCGACCTGTATGGATGGATGGATTCAATGCAAAAAGAAGGCAGGAAAGATTAAGATTTGAAGCAACATTCCTACAATTCTTTTGACTCCTCTGTCAGAGATGTTTGCTGCTCGGCCAGTGTCCACCATATTCCCATAAATACTCATTAGTAAGTATTCCCATTTTTGTGTTGTTGAGACAGAATTTCAATTTCATTACACCTGACCTGATTTCATTAACATTAATTAGGGTGGGGGGGGGGGGTGAAGAAGAAGAAAAAGAAACGTTTGGGTACAACAATCAACAGAACATTTTCTGAACCACCTCTTAATACCTGCCTGATATCAGATCAGATGCATATGAACTGCAAGTGATGATCACAACGCGAGTGTGTGTGTGTGTGTGTGTGTGTGTGTGTGTGTGTGTGTAATAATTAATAAAAAGAATTAATGGAAGTTAATATTCATGACCTGTTCAGAGACTTTAATTAGAATGAAGTGGCTTAAAGTTACAGTCGCTTTGTCAGTTTTGGTCTCTTAATAGGATTTGTTCACAATACAGCAACATTGAATATTGCCCGATTTATGCTTCAAATTAGAAAGTACACCCTCGACGTGATCAATTTTAATTCCTTCATCTATGTCATGGAAATTATTTGTGTGTGTGTGTGTGTGTGTGTGTGTATGTGTGTGTGTGTGTGTGTGTGTGTGTTTGTGTGTTTGTGTGTTTGTGGTGGTTCCTTTTGGGGTTGCTGTCACCATGGGCTGAAAGAGAATTGTTGTTCCACATTTTATTATTACTGCATATTTTATGAGCAAATAAAATGCCATTCAGTTACTTGGCGAAAGTCCTTGGTGAAATTTATGGATATTCACGATCATGAAGGTAGTTACAGATGTACTGTGTATAAGCTCCCCTCAGTTTCTTTGTTGGGTACAACAGCACAAGCTAATGAAATCCATTTATAGAGCCGCATTGAGCATATTGCCTTTAAAAAGACAGTGTTGCTAGTTTGCCACTCTCATTTAGCTACAGTAAACAATAAAGTAACCCAATTATTTGAAATAATCGGTGTGATGCATTGCAGTTTTTGACTGAGCACAATTATAGATAGCCTATCAATAAAATAATTCATTGTGACAAGTAAAACCGATGAATACAATTTTGTAACAGCATGATTTTTATTTTTTTATGTGTATATTTTTTAAATTTTAAGTTCAGTTTGAAGGGCATAGAATTTTTTTGTGAAAGATAACATCCACAGACATATGCTGTACCTGGAAATGGCTCTTGTTCCAGCCATCCTTTGTCAAAGCGTTCCTTAGTTCCTTATAACTCCACACGGTCTGCAGCACGTGAGATGCGGCCTTTGTCTCTCTGGCTGATTGGCTGCGAGGGCAAAAAAAACAAGTGGAAATAAATCACAAAATGCCCTGGAGAGAGAGAGAGCGAGAGTCATAACGTCCCTCGACTGCACCTCCACCCGAGTGACATGAAAAGTGTACTAGCAACAATCGAGCTAGTACTTGGAGTGGCTCCAGGCACTTTGTTTTTAATTTCAAGGCTTTAATGAGATGCTTGTGAGCCACCAGCATTAATTACACCTAAAAAAGCTCTAACTTGAAAGAAACACAATCTCATTAGATGTGAAAAGACACATAAGTAGTTGGTCTGTGGATAAACTGTCTCAACTCATTTAAAGTGGCTCTTTGTGTGATCAATACTTTGTCACAGAAACACTCCACATTGACAAGGGCATCTATGAAGAGTGTGGTGAAATTTGCTTTGTGACATTTTAGAAGCGCAAAGCTGTGACGCTGCTTTGAATATCTCCCTTCATATACGATTGCCAAGATGATGGCTTGCTGGACAGATGGATGGAGTGTGTTTGCGTGAGACAGAGCGGGAGAGGGAGGGAAAAAAAGAGAAAGATAGAAGAGAATATATCGCTGCTCCATGCTTGACCTTGGACATCAAACTGCTTCCGGGGTGAGAGGGCGCGGGCGTGTATGTCGTCGCTTCTCACTCCGAGACATTGTATTTTTTATTGTCTGTACAGTGTCCTTGGGTGGCATGAAAGGCGCTTTTAAATAGAATGTATTATTATTATTATTATCAAATACAATACTTCTTATGAGTATAAAGATAAAGTGTCATCAATAAATTGAATCTTTGGCAAATTTGCAACATGTGCATATAATACAGAGAACATAGTTCTCATACAGTTCTGCTGACTTTTATGGTTTGTACAGCAGAGTAACTAGAAGGGAAATGAGTTGACTTGTCGACTAAACTACTCCTCCATGACGTTTAGAGCGTGATGTCGACTAGTCGACAATCGAGTTTTTGGCTTGAGGAGGAGGCAGAGGATCTTACAGTATCAGATGAGTGCGCTGAAAGTATTTAGTTTGCGACGTTAACTGATTTAAATTGTCGTCTGTTTCTTCATGCGTAGTTTTGTCAAATGTAAGTAAAGGTGAGAAAAGCCAAGCTCCAACAGGAGCTTGACCAATCTTTCAAAGTGGAAGAAGAGTGAGGAGTTCCACTGCACACAAATGAGTCCATGATTATTTGCAAACGCTTGATTCCCATCATGCAGAACGCATTGCTGTGGTGTGCAAATGTTAACATGTTAATCCCAGTGTATGAGCTGTGGTGTGAATATAGATGACTGCAAAGCATTAGCCCCTCCTGAAATGTTTTAAAAGCTTTAGAGCTATGCTGAAAAAGGTATCAATGACACGATGAAACATTTTAGTCCATCTCATTTGTGTGATCTTTGATAAATCCTCGTGCTGATGGAACAGAAAGAGACATATAGGGCACCTGGTCCGGTTGATGGCGACGAGCTTTTCGATGGCCTGGGCCTGAATAAGAGATCGGGCGTTTTCGGAACTGTCTGTGACAATCTCGTGGATGGTGTTGAGGATGGCCACCACAGTATCCTCCTCCAAATTCTTGGCTGGCCGCTGCTGGCCGCTGGGCAAATTACTGACCAAGTCCCGCATTGCATAACTTCCTATTAATAAATAATAATAATGACAAAAAAAAAGTTATTCCCGATAAAAATAATTGGAAATGTGGTTCCAAATGTACAGTTCAATGTGTAGTACACAGAAGTCTGTTAATAGCCATTCGTCAGAAATTATCAGGCAGGTTGTTGCTTGTTGATCAATAAAATATCTTAAAACATTTTACTCAACCATTAAAACACATGGAAAAAAAAAGAAAAACAAAATGACACAAAATCCCCACAGTATTGAGTATGTGTGTGTACTTCCACACTGGCTCGAGTGTTTACCAATTAGGTCCTTGTTGCGGCGGTCGATGGAGAGGTTGCGCAGGGCGATAGCCACAGCTCGGACTACCTTGTCAGAGTCGGAGCGCAACAGCTCCACCAGTATAGGGAGACCTTTCTCTTTACGCACTGTGGCCCGGATGTAGTTGGACCACTGTGGGGGGGAGGGGGGGGGGCAGGGGGCCAGAGGTGAGCACTGTTATAGTTTGAACAATCACTTTTTTGGGGGTGGCATAGAGTGCCCGACAAAATTGCAGGAACAACTGGACAATGTTCTTTGTATAATTGACAACACTGCAATAATGTAATAAACACACCGTCTCGACTAATTCAAAATACCACACAGGGACTTTAAATTTGTCGAAATTCTACCATGACATTTTTGTAAAATAATAGCTACATTTGATGTGAAAGACAAAAGAGAAAAAGAGTTGTATTTCAACCTATCCTTGGAAAGTAATCTGTTAGATATATTGGAGCCACAAGATGGCAGTATTTTCACGCGAAAACACCAATAAGGTGGTTTAAGGTTTGAATTTTGAGAACCAGATCAGCCCAAGGAGAGAGCACAGGCTTAGTCCGGCAGCCAGATGTGACAAATGTATAAGCAGCTCTACTTGCTGCTGAATCAAACCTTGGGACCTGCTGATCGGCTTCCACAGGAAAAAAAACGTGGTAAAGGAGAAAAGGATTTGTCCTCAAAATGACCACCTTTACTAGGAATCACACCAGCACAACTAATGAGAGGATAAAATGTGACAATAAGCGATGCATTAAAATGAACCCCTTATTTGATTATTACAAAGTCGCTGGGGTTGTCTTCTGATGACAAGATCATACGACTGAAAGGTCTCACTGCCCTGATGGCTGCTGCGGGCTCAATACACGTGTATTAAAAAAATAGCATAGTCTTTGATTGAATCTACAAAAATAGACTTTTCAGTTTATAATTCACAGCTGCTTTCAAACCAGGCACTCTCTCAGTATATCTCTTGCTGCTTTAATAGGAATCAATGTCTGATCCTGGCCACGGATTTTCTTATCTCCTTGATAAATACAGGCAAAAAGCTAACACTGTTTGCATTTTTATCATAGCGCTATTAGAATTACTCGATTACACTCTGTACTTAGGATGTGTATCTTTAGCTCATGCACTTTTTTTATAGTATATATTTTTAGGGGTGTTCCAATGAAGCATTTATGCTAATTCAGATACTGATCATCCATGAGTGAGATTGGCTGAAACTGATGCCGATTACCTGGATAGGCTACGCATTTTTTCATTTTAGAGGTGCTCACTAATGATTCATTGATTAATCTGTCAATTACTTTTTCTCTTACTTGATGAAACAGAAAAATGAATCTATCCACATTTCCATACCTTTATTTTACAAAATCAGGTCATTATTTGAAATTGACAGTGGAGAAAATGCACAAACACATTCTGATTCAGTTACTGGCTTGGTCTGTAACATGTGCAGTAGGCTGCACTCTCCAAAGTACAAGCTCTAGGTGATCGATTTTGTGTTTGGCACTGACAGGCAATGATCAACATATGATCAGTGGCCGATCGATAGGAGCACTATTCTTTTTTTTTTTTTTTTTTTTTAAAACAACTACAGTATAGTGCTTTTGGACGTTTCCCAAACATTTATCAACTAATGTCCCAATTTTGTAAAATATAATAAAAAAAAAAAAAAAACATTGTAGTTAGGGCTGAACGATTAATCGAAATCCAAACATTGTTTCGATTATTTTCCAGTAATGTGCTGAACGGCGCGGCGCGTGTACAAGTTCCCGACATTGTGAAAGTACCCTGAATGTACCCTTTTGCACGCGTAGCAATCTTGTTGTGTGGGTGATTCTGTCGTCGATCCCAGGTAAGCCCAGTGTAAACCCATAAATATAAATATGATAAAGAGATAGTGGTGATGAATATTCAAGTTTTCAATGTGTGCTAAAATGGAAGGCACCAAAGGTGTGGATGTACCAGATTGAAAATGTAAGAGGCTTGAATTTTACATTATATTTCCAAGGTCAGTTTGTACTTGACAGAAAGAATAGAGTGTACAAGAATAAAGTGTTCAACATGCAGGGATAAAGGGCATGAGGTTGTGATGACAGTTTCGAGTAGTAATACTAAATATAATTTATGAATACTCATTTTAGTAATTGCGGTTTCAATCTCAATCAATCGTGATTATGCTTTTTTTTTCAAAATCGTCCAGCACTAAATGTACTTATAAAAATAAATATGACAAACTTGGTGTCTGGTGTACCGTCCCCACACCCTTGCACTCACAGTCCATTGCCCAGCACCAAGGTTCTGCAGAGCCCCAGCAGCAGCCTCCAGGGTGTTGAAGTTTTGGCTCTCGGTAAGCAGCGATAAATAGAGTCTCACCACTTCTGGTTGATAAAGAAGCTCGAAACCTAGAAGCAGACATACGCATGATTAGGACTCCTATAAAGATAGCCTTGGCATCTCATATTTGCCAACCCCCGCCAGTAATTCTTTGACGCGACATCACCGCTAACAATGGTATTCAAGTTTAATGACAGTCAATACTTTAGAAAGACAAACGAGGAGGAGAACACCAGGAGAAGATTATTGATCCGACAAGCCCACAGTTTGGGATGCTTTGATGTCGCTTGCACAAAACACATCCACCACCGTTAATCATTAGGCCTCCCTGTGATGGGAACATAATTACATTATCAGCTATTAGACAAGGCAGACACGGAGATGGACAGGCAAACCGGCATGGAATCTCAAAGCCCGCAGTGATTTTCCAAGTGACACACAAATGAGATTTCGGACAGTTTTAGCTGTCAAGGTCATTCAGAAGTGTTCACATTATATTATTATAAATGAAAGCATTACACTAGTGTGTGGAAGCTGAAGTCAATTTCATTATTTCCTGTACAATGACAGGATATTCTATTCAACTGTAAAAAGCACAACCTATTTGTACACATTAAGGGTGTACATATTAAAGCGACTCAAAGCAACACCAAAGCACTTAGCAGATCCATGTATGTTTCTTGTTTAACAGAAGGAGATGGTGGACTCAGTAGCAAACAGAGAAATGAATGGATGAAATAAAAACCTGGAGTGTGGTCAGGGGAGCCTGCTATTAGAAATTGTGACTTCAGCAGACATGTGCAGACCACTCACTGCTGATGCAGACACAACAAAATAAACATTTGATCAAAAGCAGCCTGTTATTCACAAGAGGAAAGGGAGAGTTTGCAATTGGTCTCCTGGCTCAAATTAGAAAATAGGATCCGAGAGTATGTCTTCTTGGTTCTATTTAAAAGCTCCTATATTTTTATATGGGTAGGGATACAGAGTAAAGTAACCTTTTGGTTGGCATAAACATCATACCAGAGGTTAAGTGAATTTCTAGAGTTATAAGGGAGCTGGAGGATGATGCATGAGACTAACATGCAAAGAATCACTCAAACTGCATTCTAAAAGTTGGCCTTAACATGACACACCCGAGAATGTCTCAAGAGCTTCACAATATTAAGTCCTAAAACAAACACCTTATTTGTACAAGCACCGCACACAGTTCTGGAAAAAAAAAGGAGCAGCAGCTGGTAAAAATGTAATGGATTATCCGATACGGGAATATGACACTCTAAATCAACTCTTCGCTCACACAAACAGCACTCAGACTCTGCCATTGGCATTCCTGTGGGGTGGTTTCATTGCAAAAACACCCGGAACTCTAATAATACACCCAGACATGGCGCCACAAACACGAGGGCCATTGCTTGTCACAAAGTGATTCTCATCAGTCAAACAGGTACAAGCCTCAGCCTCAAAACAATCGCTCTGCAGTTTTGTTTTGCTCTCCGGGGGGAGAAATGGAGGTAGAGCATCAAGATGAGTGACAGATGGAAAAACAAACAACAGGACAGAAAATAATCCCTCTATCTTGGAACAGACTTAACCTTTGCAGTCCTGACTTACAGTTATCTCAAACATTAGTCACATATATTTTTTTTCTCTCACTTTGGCAGGGGCAGAATGTTGAAGACCGCGTAACAAGAAATACTTGAACACACGTTTTTTTTTCCTTGTTGTTTTTAATTGTACTGCATGTATTGTTTCAGTTGGCAAAACTGGAGTTGTTGACTCTCCACTCTCACGCCACATTTGCATCCCCTGCACATTTGACCCCACCAGCTTGCTTTCATGTCTTTATCCAAATTTATGCAGCCACATGGGAAACTAATGAAGAGACTTGAAGGGTAGAGCCACAGAAAGGCAACAACTTACGGTGTCATTACAAGAGCTGTGCGCTGCTTGTTTAATAAGGGCACTGCTAGGCTCGTTACATACCAAATGATCAGCTGTGGAACTCTGTAAACAAAACCAAGTCAATTGGTAAGAGCTTTAGGGTTTTAGGAAAGCCACCTGTTTTACCTGAGCCACATCACCTTGAGGGGGATAACAATTAGGGATGGAGCTCATCAGAATATACATCTAGTTATTTGACATGAAAGTGTCATGGTTCGGACAAACCGTATAATGTTTTTGGATCCCAGAATAGTAGACGCTAGACAAAACTCCGTAACAAAAAATATTTAAGACAAAAACGCACTGACAAAGTAGAAACATAAAGCGCTGGTCAAATAAGGACCAGAAAAATACAAACAATACGATAACCAAAAGCGCTTGGAAAAAAGGCAAGGAAGAAAATAACCCGAGACTACAAACGAAATGCAAAGTACTCAATTCACGTAAGCAATGAACAATTAACAAAAACAAAAACCACCTGCTGACGAAGCCAAGAACAGGAACATGACAGAAAGTAAACCTGCTGTCATGCGGTTAGTCTTTTGCTTCCCGAAGGTATCACAGATTTGAAAGTGATTGTGTTTTTTGGGCTTTTTACAAAAGACAGACAAGTTGTGCACCTTCAGTTGACATGACAGTAATTTTTGGGGGGTATATTTAGAATGTAAACTATTATATCGGCAATTGTATGTTGTATGAGGCAATTGACATTATATCGGGGTGTTTACTAATCATACATTTTTCCTATGCCCGACCTGTCATGTCAGTGATCCTGGAAATAGTGAGTTTGGACTGTCTAACAATTAGTGACAGCTAATTCAACAATTCAACTATTTTCCCCAGGGGTCCCCAACATGGTGGTCCAGAAGACACTGCGATTTCCTTGGAATTTTGTAGAAGTGAGCTTTTAAAAAATGTGAACATTGGCAGAGATTTATAGAAATAATGTGTTGCATATTGACATTTATCTGTTCCCCAATTATGATGGCAAATTATCAACATGGTTAGTGTTATTAGTCATTAAAAAACATATTTATGTAATTAATAAAGGTAATTTGAGCAAATTTGTTTGTTCAAAAGTGTGTATCAAACTGGTAGCGATTCACATGAATCAGTTACCAAGAAGTAGTTCGAAGATTCAAAAAGGTTGGTTACTCCTGCTTTACTCCTTAGTGTAGGGTTGTTATGATTTCACTTGCAACGTTTATGCATCAATGTGTTGCACTAAATTTGCAATGTATGTTAAATCTAGATGTGAGTCAGACAGAAGTTTTGTATTACAAACTGTCTTTCGAGAACTCTGCTATCATGTATATTGTGGTAAAGCCCCTGGTTAGAATGTGAGCTTCATAGAACACAAACTCTGACCCAAGTATGCTGAATCAATTTAGAGCATCCAAGTATCCCCAACCAAAGCTTGAGGGAAAGTTTGATTGAAGCTTATCTTAAAAAAAAAAAAAAAACAGTTTGTCTTCAAAGGTATTCCTCCTACATTCCCCTTCATATGTTCAGCAACCAGGAGTCAAAGCTTCATTCCATCCCCTGGTACCCATTTGGACGGTCCTGTAGATTGGCACCTCGACAGGCAGCCCCAGGGCAGGGGACATTAGCATAACCGTACTGCAGTTGGCCTAGGTTTTGTTGGATGCTGACAAAGGAAAGCGGAAAGCGACTGCAAGACTGTGTCTTACACAGCTGCCCATCAGCTTCGGGTCACAAAGATGTCCTGGTGTGATGGGATGGTTGAGGGGAAGTGACAGTTGGGGGATGCGTTATAGAGTGCCAAAAGAGACAAATAGACAGCTCAGACCCCCTATCTTGTACTTTCTCCAAATCCGCCTTTCAACATCAGGTGTCCATCGCCACTTTGACCAAAATTTCCAGCCAATGAAAGGCTATTTTAGCACAACGGGAAACCATTGTAGCTCGCTGTTGCTGCAGTGACAGCTTAGTACTTCACAATCAAATCCGACTGTGGGATTTTTTAACCAAGCAGGACAAACTGACGAAAGTAGCCAAAAACACGCTGACAAGGTGACTTTAAACTGAAAGGGTGGTCCAAACACTATTGATAAAATCCAAGAGTACTACTACATATTGATTTATACATATTCCGTGCGCTGAAAACTTGACTCGTTTTTCCAGTGTCTCTAGCTGTGGGGTTGCACAAATGTGTTGCGACCAACGCAATGTAGTTCAATCGCTTATTAAGGACGCCTAAAATAAAAACGACTTAATTATGCTGACAATGTATTATACGGCGCCTGTTGCCAGCATTTAGCAGTGGCTCCTGCGTTGGCGGATCCAGCACTGAAACCAACTGTGTATTTGGTAATGTTTTCACAGAATGACAAAAATTGAAACGTGAAACATGAAAGAATGTAAGAATCTGCTTCCATACTCGCACCATTTAGTTTGCAGATTTCTTGTTTGTTTTCCCCCTTTGTTGCGATTCATATGGTTATTAATGCTGGTATCTACCAATTATGAACTCTGGTGCCTACCAATTCAACCGGTTGGACTGGTAACTTCAAAATACTCCTCTTCACATTCAAAGCCATCCATAACCTTGCCCCCCCCCATCTGTCGGACCTTCTTCAAATTTCCGTTCCCTCTCGTTCCCTTAGGTCCTCAGCCTCCCTCCACCTCTGTGTACCCTCTGCCCGTCTCAGCACGGTGGGATGCAGAGCTTTCAGCCGCTCTGCCCCCAAACTCTGGAACTCACTCCCACCCGACATCCGAAATATTGACTCTCTTCCTATATTCATATTCAAATCATCTCAAAACCCACCTATTGAAAATTGCATATTCAGTTTAAACTCATCCCTTTTTATTATTTATAATTTTATCTGTGGTTTTATTGCTCTTTTTTGATTGTAAAAGTGTCCTTGGGTATTTTGAAAGGCGCTTATAAATAAAATGTATTATTATTATTATTATTATTAGTTCAAAGAAATTCGAATGCATTCAGTTGTGGTGATACCCTGAACTGATACAATTAGCAAATTGTGACAGATGAAATCACTGACGAAATATTTAATTGTTGGTAAATATGTATCCACTTGGCATGTCATCATGCTTAATGTTTGCTGCCATATTTTGTTCATACACTCGATAGAATGCA